TGTGTGCTAATTTTATTGTTTTTACAAAGCTGGGAAGGTTCGTCTTTTTTGTAGTATAGTCCCTAAAGTTTTAGTGATGTATCATGAAAACACTTTATAATACAAGAAATGTAAACCAATAGTCAAAATTGCTCCTCTATGATATATATATATATATATATATATATATATATATATATATATATATATATATATATATATATATATACACACACACACACACATATATATATATATATATAATATAACCGAATGTATAAATATAGGTAGTATACAAGCGAGCGGTCGTATACAAATATATATATAAATACTTTATTACATTATGCAAGATATTATGTATATTAAGAAATATACATGATGTAACATGTATATTTCTTTATATCTATTGCTTAAAATTTGCTAAATTTGAGGATTGAGTACTCAATATCAAAAATCGAGTTTCTGTAGATGTAAACAATGTGAACCTAGGAAGTTAACACTATATGGTGAATGTGAGTTTCGCGCCTTAACCGATCTCTATTTCATTTGTTGGTTGAAGAACATTTGAAGCGGGAAACTTATAGTCAATTTGTAGTGCTCATTTTCCGGTACACATAGTCTGCGCCCGCGCGCACACATACATAAAAATTTTTATATTTATGGGTGAAGAATGCTCAATATTGGAGATAAATAAAAATTTGTATGTCTGAAGAACACTTGAGGTGTGGAAATGACAGTCACCAAGCAATGTTGATTGCTATGTCCCTCCTGTTCTTATCTACAATCCCTCTCTCCCCAGTATTGAGCATACTTCCTTAATATATTTAAACCTAGGATCACAAACTCACATAAGTACAACTAAGTGTGTTAGCTCTATCAATGACAGTGACCGCTTTCCAATAAGTACCCCGTATATATAATATATAAATAATATGTATAGAAATTACACACACACACACACACACACACACACACACACACACACACACACACACACACACATATATACACACACATATATATATATATATATATATATATATATATATATATACACATACATATTATACATATGCGTGTGTATGCGTCTGTGTTCTTGAAGATTTAAAATCTGGTGTATTTATGGGAAGAGAGCATTAAATATCGGTAATAGAGTTCTTGAAGATATAAACTGCCTGTCGTCTTGCAGTGATGATTACTATGTCTACACACTATAATATATATATATATATATATATAATTGCATTAATAGAATAAATCACAAGAAGAAAATTTTATTGATACTTCCTTGGCAGATATAATTATTTATATCTGAGTTGTTGCACACACACACACACACACACACACACACACACACACACACACACACATATATATATATATATATATATATATATATATATATATATATACGCCTCTCCTTCTCAAAAGGGTCTAAAAATAACAGAAGCCCTCATCATAAAAAACAGCATTAACTATAAACACAGTCATAATGTACTGGCCGTGTTCGGGTATTAAAAACATTTCTCCCTGTTAGCAATTTACACACCATCTGTAGTTGCGCATGTAAAATCCATCAAGATCGCTAACTCGCCCCGTGAATTATATCCTCACCGATTACTCCATATTATGCTTTTTTGTCTTGAAATAGAGGACTCTTCGTAAATAATTATAAATGTGTGAGCAACTTGAGATTTTGTACTTAACTACATTTTGGGGCCTAATACAAGGGGTGATTTAATAAATGGGGAGTCGAAATTTTTATCAATATAAAATAATCGGTGGTAAAAGGAAATTTAAGAGTTCAAAAAATGCGTAAATTATAAACAGAACGGTTTTTTTTAATAGGCGTCGGATTTCGCCTCCCCCAAATAAAATAAACGTTCAGCCCCCTCCTATCAGGCGCCAAAATGGTAAGTAACGTTTAGTCTATATTTATACGTATGAATTTAAATATATAAGTATCTACTTGGCTTAGCTTAGTTTTGCGCAAGGCCAGAAAATTTGGACCCAAAATCGAGATTAATTTGTGAATAATATTTCTAGGCATGGGCAATGTTTTTCGAGCAGAGGGCCGCATAAAACATGATTTAAAAAAAAATGCAAAAAAAAAAAAAAAATCAAGATACATTTTAATTTTTAATTGAACGGGCCTCAGCCGTTTTCCTTACAGAAGACCAAACGCATAAGCATCTGCCTTAGAAATGAGGAAAAGTTGATTCTTTTTTTAAATTTGGAGAAAATTTTAAAAATTGGTTTCTTTTTGTTAGCACATCATTACCGATAAAAATGTAATTAACACATGCCGCTGCGTTTAATTTGTTTCCAATTTATTTTAATATTTTTTATATAGATAATATATTTCACCTCCAGAGAAAAAAATATCATGAGCATTACCTGTTTGCAAAGCAAATGATGTTTACACGTATGATCTTCCTTAGTGAAAATCGCCAACTGTTTACAATGATGAAAAATTACAAAATTTAATAAATATTAAACTTGATAATTGTCATATATGTGGTCATGTATGAGAATATGGGTGAGCCAGTGGGAATGAAAGAAAAACAAAGAAAATTAAGATAAGATTAATTTATTTTCCTAATGAAATTAGGCGTGTCATTCAGAAAGCAAATTAAGCTGTATGCGGCACACGTGTCGCAATTTGCTCAATGCCTGTTCTACACCCTTTTTTAAACCAGTGAAAGTCCAAAGTTTTAAGAAACAGAAAATTCTATTTGAATGAAGAACTCATTTCAAGATATTTTATTTTAAGAAATCAAATCACTTTGTCTCTTAGTGTTTTTACTTG